CGACTAAGAGAAGGCAGGCTGCCGCTCCGCAGCAGATCTTATCAGGAGCAGCACAGAAGACGCTGAGCCGCGGGTAAAACGTTTTCTCTCTCCACGTGGACATGTGGTCAGCAGAAATCACAAATTCACAGCGAATTAGCTTTTTATGAGGACCGTTTCATGTTGCAGGTTATAAATCAATACATGGAAGAGCTGAAGTCAGCGACGAAGAGGATGGTCTTTGCTAAGTTTCATTTGCCGCCGCGGTTTTTGCAGCATGTTGCCTTCAGATACGATAGGAAAGGGGAGTAAGATGACCAAACGTTGCCCTTTTTTTGTGCTGAATGTTAAAAAAAGAGATTACAACTCCCTCTGGGGAATGGCTATACAACAGAAACATTCAGGGAGACGTGTTCATTCAGTCAGGATGAAGCTCAGACCCACCGGGTTGAACTTTTAGAAAGAAGCGGTGACTTTGTTGTTGTTCCTAACTCGGTGCAGCGTAAACCAGGCTGCTTCCTGAGAGTCGGAGTGAGAAAAAGCCACTGCCTGTTCCAACCCTGTGTGTGTGTGTGTGTGTGTGTGTGTGTGTGTGTGTGTGTGTGTGTGTGTGTGTGTGTGTGTGTGTGTGTGTGTGTGTGTGTGTGTGTGTGTGTGTGTGTGTGTCCGTTCCTCACCACGCTCACAGACTTCTGCTGTACTTTACTCTCTTTTATTGTTTTCTAAAGACAACCACCTGGTGGCAATTTGAGGAAAGAACTAATCCATCTTCATTCCGACTGCAGGTTGACTGCCCAGGAATAAAAATGACAACATGGGAAAGAGTCAGCCCCCTGGCATATTCCCTTTTCCTTTCTACATCCTTTTAAACCACATAGCTGGAGTCTGAGGGCAAGGGATGTCAGGTCAAAACAATGTGAGTCAGGAGTTAACGCACGGTCGGAGTAGACTGGGGTCAAAGGGCTTTGTTTGTGTGTGTGTGTGTGTGTGTGTGTGTGTGTGTGTGTGTGTGTGTGTGTGTGTGTGTGTGTGTGTGACAGGAATGTTAAGCCCACATAGGAAGTATTCAACTTGTCAGGTCTGAAAGCAACCGAGAGAGAAAACTCTAACAGCTCTCCAACACCGGGACACACTTTTTTCTACTGATGCGTCCCGCGCTCTTCGTTCCCGTTTGCATCAGAGCATCACAACAGTTGCCTCAGGAGTCGGTCAGAAAACATACACGCTCAGACGTCACACCACCACCACATGAAATTAGAACGTTCCAAGCCAGCAAGTACAGAAGCATCGCAAGCAAGATGTGGTCAATCAGGAAGTTTACGTGGAGAACTTACCAAGTCTGGAGATGCCCAGGAGCAGAAGGACCCAAGGGATCATGTCTGAGGGGGAGTGGAGTGGAGAGGGCAAAACCTACGGAAAACAGTAGGCGAGTGTGAAATTGAAGTTGGCAGGCACAAAGAAATGCACAAGATGAGAGAGTGCTCCTCTGCACTGCTGGAGGTGATGCTACGGTCCCTGAGTGGTGTCTTCTTTTACCAGTGGAAAGGCTGGACGTCTTCTCTGTCCTTCTCCTCTTCAGCGTACTCTCCTCTCTGTCTCTCTGTGTTTGACTCTTCAGAGTAGCCGGCTGTCTGCCGTCTCGTGCGCGCCCCCTCTCCCTCTTTAGCGGATGTGAGCTTGTAGACTTTCTGCGTCCTCGCTGCTGACTCTCAGCATTCGCACACTCCTCCTCTCTCACTAGCACCGTTTCTCATCGCCCATCCATTCTCAGTGTCTTCAGTCCTCACTCACCCCCCCCCCCCCCCCCCCCTCCAACCCCATTCTCTCTATCTCTCTTGCTCTTCCACTCACACACCAGTCAGAGGATGGAGCTCCAGACTCCTCCCTCCCTCCATCTCTCTCTCTCTCTCAGCCTCTCACGGTGGCTGTCTGGGTGGCTGAAGCTGAAGCTGAAGCTGGGGTCCTCACTCTGGGAACCAAGCCTGACATGGGAGAAACACACAGGGAGTGCCTCAATTAGAATAAGAATATGGGTGAGACCTCTATAGCAACAAATAACGCAGACAGCAACAGAAAGGGCACCCCCCACCCCTCAGTTAAGACCTTGTTGTTTTTGGAACACATTCTATGGGTAGAGCTGGATTTTTGGCACGGCAAAGATCCCATTAGCATTCAAGAGAAAGCCTTTTGTTAGAATACACATTTTTAAGGTGGGGGGATCCCACTGCTTTCTCAAGGATCCTAGGATGCAAGAGATCACATCCTCCATAAATGTCCTTCAGAGTAAAAAAAACACAAATTTTCACACTGGGTATTTGTAGGATTTTTTTTTTCATTAAAGATAAACCTAAACACCAGGAAGCTATCAGGTTTGACTTTTATGACCGAATAACGTTATTAAACTGCAAATGACTCTGATTAAATAGATTCTCATTGTTGGAAAATGTGAGCCTTCTCTGTTTTTTTTTCTAAAGCAAAAAGGTCTAATTTTGAATGATTTGGACTTCTGTTTTTTTTTTTTTTTTTTAAACCATAGATTTATTTTCCCTTGAGTTCCAGATAAGATGATTATTCTGGGTGAAATGTTTAGTTCTGACCAGACGCGTTTAAGAGATGTGTAGTTGTTATCGTTAATGGAAATATCCATCAGAATGTTCAAAATGAATTAAACGATGCCCAGTTGTTGAAGAACTTTTTGGAATTTTAGTCGACAAAAACTAACTAAAACTTTTTGAGATTTAGTCAACTAAAACTGACTAAGACTAAAACTAAGATGCCCGCCAGAAACATGACTGCTCGGAACTCCAAAATTCCAACTAAGAAAGCGAATGCGCTCTAAAGTTTGGCTTCACTTCACCAAATACCATCATGGATAACTGGGTGATGATGAAACGAGCGACAAGTGTGAGGCATCATCATCTTAATCTGCTCCAGCAGCAAAATAAATGGTTTAGGATAACAGTAGCTAGTAGGCAGGGTTTTCTGGCACAATGGTGGTGTTGGACGCAGCGAGGTCAAAGCTGGGTCATTGAGAACTTTCACCCACAGATTAAGACCTGAACGCCAGCGAGTCTGGGAGGAAACCATAACATCTGCCACCTGCGGTACCAGAAGAAGGAGTTCTCATGGACAAGTAGTCATAACAAATCAAAACATAAAGTTTAAACTTCTTTTTCTTGAGTTTAATGTTAAAGTAACCATTATCATTTTGCTCATTATAAGTGTGTTTAATCAAATGAATGACTATTATGCTTTGGGGTAATTATAATGGACTAATGAATCCATTCTTAAATAATGTTGAGAATGTGTGGTACTGACCTTCACACACGCCCACACACATCTTCCCACAGTAAACTCCAGACACATTTGATGACGCACATGTTTGCTTTGAGAAGAGAAAGGTTCTTGGTAAGTTTGAGTCTTATGATTTCAGTTCGTGCTTGACAACGAAAGAGAGAGGATGTGTGAACGACCGCTAACGGGGCACGGAGCCCATTGGCTCAACCCCCCCCCTCTCTCACGCTGTTTCTGTCAGCCAGACAGAATAGCTGAATCGCGACTTCTAACGCAGACTCATTACCGAGTCTTTTGATTTCTGAGTGAATTAACTTAAGAAAGCGCGTCGACAAAACGCTTTACCATCAACGTGTACCGAGGGCAACTCTGGACCGGTTCCGTTCGACACCTACGTCTCCTGTCAGCCGCCGGTGTCATCTGGATGAACCACAACATCCTCCACGGCCCGGATCCGAAAGAGGGTCCACAAGAGTTCGGTGAGACAGCACGGTGTTTAGCGTTTTGATGCATCTTTTCCAACTAAACCCAAGTTTATTCAAACCATCACTTTTCACTCAGACACCTGTTTCTTCCTGAAGCAAAATCAGATGCACACACGCATCCATCTCACCTCATCTCACCACACTTTGCACCCATACGCATTCATAATCACATCATATCACTCTCACAACTCACAACATTCTCAATCTTCATAAATTCACCAGAAGGTCTATTTGAGCAAGAACAGCATATAAACTGTTAAAGATTGTCCCACAAAGTTGCCAATGTGATTGTTGTTTCCTGTTTGTCAATTTTCAAAATCATTAGTTTAATTTGAAGAATTAAAACTTGTAATCCTTCAAACTGGTTTCCTCATTGAACTGAAACACAGACACTCAGATATTATCGGCAGTTTATCGATGAAAACAACCTTTGAGTCTTCTTAACAATATAAAATTTGGTTATTGATTTATTAAAAATTAATATTCCGAATTAATACGTAGCATGGTTCCTCTTTCATAAAAGAGCATAAAACCACAACGCTACAGCTAATAGTGCATTCACTTTCTCCTCGGAAATTCCAACTTCCGAGTAGGAAAAATAAACAATTTGAAAATATACAGCAAAAGGAATGAAGATTCACCATAAATTGCATTCACAGCAAAGATGTTTGCTTCAGTGTAATTTGCAGTTTATAAAACTACAAAGACCCACCATCACGCCATTTGTCCAGAGGAGAAAGGAGAGGAAAAGGAGTACATGGAGCTAGGTTTACTTTGTGAAACCCCACAATATTAAATTTAAACTGTTGTATGGTATTAAAGTTTGCTTTAGTTTCATTTGTAGTTTCTAATACATGGTCTCCTCATCATAGTTTTTCCAGAGGGCACAGAAGAGGCATAGGAGTACATGGAGCTGGGTCTGGTTTTGCGTAAACAGTTGTTAAAGGTTTTTATATTGAAGAATTTTGAACAACACTACAATGATGAAATACAAACAGTTTCTATGTTATCGTGATATTTATCAAATATGGATATATATTGGGAAAATAAAACATCCATCCATCCATTTTCATCCGCTTATCTGGAGTCGGGTCGCGGGGGCAGTAGCCTAAGGCGAGAGGCCCAGACTTCCCTCTCCCCAGCCACTTGGGCAAGCTCCTCCAAGGGAATCCCAAGGCATTCCCTGGCCAGGTGATAGACATCCCTCCACCGTGTCCTGGGTCTACCTTTAGGTCTCTTCCCGGTTGGATGTACCCGGAATACCTCACCAGGGAGGCGTCCAGGAGAATTCCTGAACAGATGCCCGAGCAACCTAAACTGGCTCCTCTCGATGTGGAGGAGCAGCGGGTCTACTCCAAGCCCCTCCCAAATGACCGAGCTTCTCACCCCATATCTAAAGGACAGCCCAGCCACTCTTCGGAGATAACTAATTTAGGTCACTTGTATCTGCGATCTCGTTCTTTCGGCCACTACCCAAAGCTCATGGCCATAGGTGAGGGTAGGAACGTAGATCAACCGGTAAATCGAGAGCTTTGTCTTCTGACTCAGCTCTCTCTTCAACCCAACAGACCGGTACAATGCCCGCATCACTGCAGATGCAGCACCAATCCGCCTATCGATCTCACGCTCCAGTTTTCCCTCACTCGTGAACAAGACCCCGAGATACTTAAACTCCTCCACTTGGGGCAGGACCTCATCCCTGACCCGGAGAAAGCATTCAACCCTTTTCCGAATCAAGACCATAGTCTCAGATTTAGAGAAGCTGATTCTCATCCCAGCTGCTTCACACTTGGCTGCGAAACGCTCCAGCAAAAGCTGAAGATCGCATTCTGATGGAGCCAACAGGACCACATCATCTGCAAAAAGCAGAGACCTGATCCTCAGGCCACCAAAACAGATGCCCTCCACACTTTGGCTGCACCTAGAAATCTTGTCCATAAAGGTTATGAACAGAATCGGTGACAAAGGGCAGCCTTGGCGGAGTCCAACTCTCACTGGGAAGGAGCCCGACTTACTGCCGGCAATGGGGACCAAGCTCTGACACCGGTCATATAGAGACCTAACAGCCCATATCAGAGGGCCTGGTACCCCATGCTCCCGGAGTACCCCCCACAGGGACCCACGAGGAACGTGGTCAAATGCCTTCTCCAAATCCATAAAACACATATAGACTGGTTGGGCAAATTCCCACGCACCCTCCAGGATGCCCCTAAGGGTATAGAGCTGATCCAGTGTTCCACGGCCAGGACGAAAACCACACTGCTCCTCCTTAATCTGAGGTTCAACAATCCGAGGGACCCTCCTCTCCAGAACCCCTGAATAGACCTTACTAGGAAGGCTCAGGATTGTGATCCCCCTGCAGTTGGAGCACACCCTGCGGTCCCCCTTTTTAAATAAGGGGACCACCACCCCGGTCTGCCAGTCCAGTGGGACTGCCCCCAATGTCCACGCAATATTGCCGAGCCACGTCAGCCAACACCGCCCCAAAACATCAAGAGCATTAAGGAACTCTGGGCGGATCTCATCCACCCCTGGGGCCTTGCCACAGAAGAGCTTTTTAACCACCTCAGTGACCTCAGCACCAGAGATTTGAGAGGCCAACCCAAAGTCCCCAGACTCTGCTTCCTCAATGGAAGACATGTCGGTGGGATTGAGGAGGTCTTCGAAGTATTGAGCCCACCAATCCACAATGCCCTGAGTAGAGGTCAGCAGCACACCGTCCCCACTATAGATAGTGTTGGTAGCGCACTCCACCCCCCCCCCCCCCCCAACCCCCCCGACCCCACCCCACCCCCACCCCCAGGCACCGGATGGTGGACCAGAATCTCCTCGAAGCCGTATGGATGTCTTGCTCCATGGTCTCACCAAACTCCTCTCATGCCCAGGTTTTTGCCTTGGCGACCCCCGAGCCGCGTTCTGCTTGGACTGCCGGTACCCGTCGGGTGCCTCTGGAGTTCCACAGGCCAAAATGACCTGATAGGACTCTTTCTTCAGCGTGACAGTATCCCTA